TATAATTATTCACGGTATTTAGAAGTGCCCACGATAACAATATCGTGCATATTCATTACCGTGATATATCGCATTACCAAATACCGGCACAAGTCTAAGCCACACACATCATCTAATGATGTCTTCATGGAGGATATGCCTGACCTGACATATAAAAGCTCCAGCTTTATGAGTTTAAAATAGACTGCATTATCCCATGTGTGTCAGAGCGGAGAATCTCCAATCAATATGACACAATTAAATATTTAACAATGATGATGGGTCACAGCAAAACTAATGCCAAATAAAAATACTGTTACTCCCTATTTTATGTCAAGTTACTTTAATTTTGTTGGTAACATTTTACAATAATGGTCCATTTGTAAACTACATTAGCTAACATGAACTAACAATAAAAAAAATACTCTTTCTTTAATCTCAGCATTTACTAACACATTATTCAATTGTAATAAAAGTTTAATAACATTAATAAAAGTTATATCTGTTAATATTACAGTAACACTTTTGCAGTGCCACTTATTTTTTGTGGTAGGGCCAGTGAAAATGTTGGCAGAGCAACTTCCAGTCCATTAGAAAAAATCCTTAGAATTGAGCTCTGCTAATGCTGTAAAATATAAATCGGAGTCAGTCAGTTGGTACTACATTACTATAATATTCAAGGGTAAAATTAACTGATTTGTTTACAAACACTTAAATTACACTCAATTAAGTTTTTATAATAATTAAAGCTATAATACTAACTTTACAATTACATAATTATATTTCTACTCAAATTCTTTTTTTTTTTTTTTTTAAATATAAACATTTAAATGGTGGCTTGACGGATTAAATAGTGAAGAACAGTAAAAATTATAAAGAATTTTATACAGTGCATATATTTAGCAAAATGATGCTCTCTATAGTTAATTTTTCTAGCTGACTAACGAGTTTAAGGTCACCGAATGTGTTTTCTTTTTAGGTAAATGTGACGTTACATGACATATTGTTTACAAGCTGTTATGCTGACGTCTTTCCACGGTTGAAACACTGATTGAGCGATTGAAACACTGATCAACGCGGATACGCTGTTTATGGTTTGATTTGAACGAAAACAACGTATCCGCGTGGCGCAGCTGACACAAAACAGCATACGCAATAGGGTTGGGCCAATAGACGATGCCATCGTCCATCGCCGAAGGCTGACAGACATCACGATGTTGAGCCAGCAAAACTGAAAACCTTGTGTGAGACGTAATTTCACAAACAGCGTGAGTGAATCACCGCGCGCGCTCTCTCTCTCTTTCTCTCTCAAAATACGCAAATGGCTTCAAATCACCACACATCGCATCTGTCTATAAGTGAGCTGCACGCTGCACAGTTGACACAGGAATTGTCACTTGCACAGTCGAGGCAGTGTCACATCGTCACTAAAGTTTATAAATTGCATTACTTTTTAATTCTTACCGGTGTTTAACCATTCAGCGCTCGCGCGCTCTCCTGGAGACGTACACTCACGCACACTCGCAGCACACACACAATGCTAGGTTCACATTACTCCGTTTGCAGTGCGTATGTGGTGCGTATTTTTCCGCGCTCATGTTAACGGATTAATAAAGCGTTCACTGCACACGGTTGCAGTCCGGCAGTGCGTTCCAGGAGCGGTGCGTCTGCTGTAGTGC